AGCAGCAGTGTCAGAATAAAAAAGTGTAGCAGACAGCCGGAGAGCAGGAAGTAAGCAGACAAAGCTGGCAGTTGCTTTTGATGAGGTGATTGATTTGGCGAGTGGAGGATTAAAGCGGTTGAATCGCTGTTTACACCGACTGCACAGTACCGACCGTACAGCACCCTGTCATGTTTACCTGATATATTACGTTGATATTTCTTATGTAGTATTCTTCAGACGTGGGTTGCTTGTTGATGAAGGTGCGAGCTGAAAGATCTGTTGTTTTCTTTTTGTTTTTGTTTTTTTCTAATCCTGCGGGCTGAACATTTGTCAGAAAAAAAAATTAATTAAAAGAAAATGTGATAGATTTGAGTGCGTTAGCTCCTTTTGAATCACTGTGCTTTAACGTGTCACGATAATGAGGAGGAAATGAATGTGAGGACCAAAAGCATTTTAAACGCTCACTTTCACATCTCTAAAATGAAATTCTGTGTGCGTTTCCGTGCGCCTCAGTCTCAGGAGCAGATCGAAGAGGAGAGGGAGAGGGTGAACGCCTCCGTGTTGACACTAGAGCAAGAGCTGGAGAGCTGGAGAGATCAGGGAGAGCAGTGGAAGACGGAGCTGGAGGCCACCACGCAGGAGCTGCAAACGACCAAAGAGGAGTTAGTATCACAAGTCCTGCATCTTCTTTAACATAAATGCATATATGATCGATCACCTCAGTGAACAGCAACAAAGACATATTTGTAAACCTATTAAAAAGCATGAATATGCATGCTGGTGGAACATGTTTCAGCTTTGGTCATGCATCGGAAACACTCTGTCACTGTCACATTTCATATTTCAAATGGGGAACTGGTTCAAATCATCTGCACTGCTCACTGAAAACTTTACAACATCCTGTGAAAAGAGCTCTCTATGCCTCAGTCTAATAATATTATATTTCTCCAGAGTTATTTTTAATGCCTGCCATGTTTCACTTGGCTTTTCATTTGGCAGGAACGAGGCGAACCCCAGCAGCCAAACGTGAGAGAGAAAATTAGTCTTGCTATGTTTGGTTTGAGTAGTGTAGATTTAGCCTGGTTTCAATGAAAACTTGAGATCCACTCCCTGAAATTCACCTGTAAGGCTCCCATCAGAGTGGATTCTGTATCTGATGATGTCTGATTCGATCATTAGATCAGTGAACCCAACTTTACTAAACAACTTTCCTCTGCTCATCCTCGCTTTCCTCATAATTTTTCTGTTTGCTGATGAAATTCTTCTTCCTTTAAATAAATAAATAAGCAAATGATAAATTGCAGTTTCGTGTGCAATCTTAGAATCTGAGAGTTTTTTGGTTGTGGTGATTTCATAGTAACTTTTACTCCCTTGTGCTTTGTTTGTTGCTTGCGGTTGCTGTTTTTGTGTTTTACCCGAGCTGTGTGCATATGTGTATTTCATTTATTTATTTATTTTAATGGCCTTGCTGTTTATAAAGTGACTCTCTTTCTTTTCATAGCTTGCAAAAATCCCATTTGGAAAAGGAAGACTTGGAGGGTGAGCTAAAGGATCTTCAGGATTCATTGCTTGCCAAGAAGAAACAAACGTCTGCGTCTGATGATAACCGTTCTTTAGCAGAGGTAATTCAGCTAAGATTATGCTCAGTGTGTGGGTGAAATGCAGGAGCTCATCTCCTTTGTTTTACAGTATGTTTTACTCCCTCTTTTTTTTCCCTTAATGTGTCACAGCAGCAGTGTGGATGTGGGCTTTTGCTCTTTTTCTTTAAATTTTCCTGCAGACAGACATGCTCACACTCATATGCCTCTTATTAATACATTATTATGCACCCTGGCACATTCCTCTCACTCACTCACTCACTCACACACATTATCCATCTCTGATTGCCCGTCCCTAGGAGCTTCGGTGTTGCCATAACGACCTGAAGAGGGCTCGCACCGATCTGGACAAACAAAGAGGTCAGCTGGACGAGAATATCGAGGCACTTCAAGCTCTGAAGAAGGCGAGCGGAGAGAAAGAGGCCGCACTTCAGTCCGAGATCAGCAAGTTGAAGGAGCAATTTCAGAAAGACAAGACTGAGCTGGAAAAGGCACTCGAGAAGGCAAAGGAGGTGAAGCATCATCTGGATTGTAGAAACAAAGCAAGAGCCTTACAGCATAAAATTAAGGAATCCTGCACCATTTGATGTTTAAAAATAATGCAGATATGGAAGTTTCTCTTTAGATTTTAAAAAATAACATAAAAAGTGTAGGCATAATGAGCATGTTCGACATGGAAAATAAAGCTTCAGTTTCTGTCTTCTCTCTGCTTTGATGCACTCCTGTCTACAGTCGTCAGCTGATGCAGGAAGTACTGTGGTGGACCACGGCAACAACAACCTGGAGCTCCAAGAGACAAACAGTCGCCTGAGGGAAAGGCTGGCCCGCATGGTACTGCTCAAAAAGCGGCTACAGTCCACAGCCGTACACACATGCAAAATTATGTAAACACATATACTGCACAGGAACAAAAGAAGTGTCCTCCCACACAGACACTATATTCAACCAAGGGATGTGAAAAGAATTACACTAAAAAAAAAATCCCCTTTAAGCACATAAGGCTTAGAAATCCCTCTGGGATAAATTTTTTTAAGATGAGCATTGTGGATTGTGCTGTATGTTGACTGGAACAGCTGTGTATTCCAGCTGTTTAAAGAGCTGTAATCTGTGTGTGGAGCAGTCTTTCACAAATCTGTAAACAGAATGAGTGCACAGCAATTTATCAAATATGCACACAAACTGGACTTTTTGTGCAGTCGTCATGTTAATGCTTCAAGTGCAGAACTTCGATTTTAACTCTGCTTTAAATATGAAAGCTTTTTATTATTTGTCATTCTCCTTGTTTTGTATGCCAACCAAATTTAATAACTTATTACAAGCCCAAATTATAAAATAAACACAAGGATTTATTCCTTTTTTTGGCCCAGTGCAAGTCTTGACTTGTAATACAGTTTGTTTGAGTAATAAAAAGACAATTTAGTCTATCTGCTGTGTTCATAGCTTGATATGCTCCCCAGACAAAGCTTCACTCCAGCATGCCTCGGAGCCCGGAGGACGAGGATGCCGTGGAAGCCCTGGAGGATGAGAACCGCTCCCTGAAGTCTCAGCTGGAGGAGGCCAAGAGAGGAGCCGCCCGCCTGAGCAAGGAGAGGGACGAGCTGGTCCGGCGGTTGGAGGACCGAGACATGGAGAGGGAGGCGCTGAGGAGGGGCAAAAGCGAACTGGAGGAGCAGAAGAGGCAGCTGGATCGGGCGGTTGAAAAGCTTAACAAAGAGGTGTGAAAGAGTTATGGATGGACGAATGTCTACACAGATGGAGATGTCATTTTCTCAAGTCTTTCTTTATTCTGTCTCACTCTCAGGTGGAGCTGATGATGGGAGATTCTCGTCACTCGGTAACCAACCTGCAGATACAGTTTGATGAATACAGGGAACGCTCGAGGAAGGACCTGCTGGAGACGCAGCGCAGCAGTAAGGACAGGCTGGCCGAGCTGCAGAGGGCTCAGACCAACCTGAAGGGCCAGCAAGAAGAGGTGAGGAAAGATGGCTCTAGAAATGTACAGGGTGGTAGCTTCACTTGCTGCTTAGCTGACACAGTAGAGGTGGGCAGATCGATCCAAATATTGATATCAGATAGATACTTTGTTTCTATCCTCTAAGTTCAGTATGTAGCAAATTATCTAGGAAATTATTGTTTGGAAATGAAAAAATACACCTCAGACATTCACTATAAAAAAATGTCTGAACCTTTTCCTGTTGACTGTTACTATTTGATTTGAAACCTACAGCACATTTAAACAACAGAAGTTGACCTAAAGTTCTTTACAGACAGACACATTTACATTTCAAGTCTCTAAAGATTTCAGTTTCAAACGATAATTAAAAGCCGAAAGGTCTCTTTTGTTGCGTTAACTAATTATTGTGGAAAGTAAAAATCATAGTGATTTAAACCAATGATTCATCTGATAAATCACAACACACTGTTCTCTCCTACATGAGCTGCCTTAATTGGTTAAAAGCATCGGCATCTGTGTCGCTATCGGTTTTGGCAATAACCTGTATAACCCTGTATTTATTATACATGTGTATTTATTACACATGTGTAAGCAAGTAACAGCGAGTGAGCTGGATTCCATCGTCTCATTGGTGGATGTGAATCTTCCCTCTTTCCAATTGGTTGATATGTTTCACGTATTTTAATCAAACAAGTCTTGTATACACATTTTAATCTATTTAAACCTATTTGCCTCTCAGCATCCATGCCTGATTGTCTGTCTGTCTGTTTCTGAGTGTGGACATTCAGTAATAGTAACACAGACACATTTTTGAGTCAGTTATCTGCTTCTATGTGAGGTTATACTGCAGTTCAAATTAAAACCATCACAGTTTCAAGTCTTTCAGCTACCACTCACACTTTAAAGCTGCCTTAAAACCCTGCCTTAGTGGATTTTTTCATCAAATATTGGCTGCTATTTGTCTTCAGTTTTCTTAGCCAGCCTATTTATCTCCAACTTTATAGCAGCAAGTAAGTCCAGCAGTAGCAACAATCCCACTGCGGTTTCTCCAAGAACTGCATAGTCCAGTTTTAGTGTCTAATATTTTTTTGCTGAAGAGTCGCAATTACTTATATGGGGCATAACATAGATCAAAGAATTTGGAGGAAAAAATGGGGTGAGATACTGAAGCTGTTGAAACTTTAAATAGAAATTTATGGAAACATCACATTCGCAGAAGGTTAAGTTTCTCACAGTGAAGAAGTGCGGATTCTAAAA